TATAATATTAATTATATTATTATTATTATTATTATTATTATATTTAAGGGTAATGATGAAAAAAAAATTAAAAGAGCTTGTAATGGACATTCTCATATTAAAAAAAAATGATGATTCACTTATTTGATGAAAAAATCATTCCATTTTAAATGACTATTCATTTTTTTAAAACCAACTAAATATAAAAATAAACCTTGATTCTTTCCATTTATTTTCATTCCCCACAACCAAACACACCCTTTATTCTTAATTTCTTATTGTGTTTCCAGTGTTGATGTCGTTTTCCCTTGGAGAGACCTTCGCCATCGATGAACGTCTCAAAGCCAAAGTTACAGTCGTCACCGTCGATGGTTCACGTTGTTCTCAGGTGCGCCGTTCCTCTCTCGCTCTCTCTAAGGAAACGGTTTTCCCGCTCTCACTTTCCCCATTTTCTCGGATGCCAAACACAATTTTTTCCTCCCTTTTAAGTCTCTCATGGGTCACCTTCCCACTCCGTTTTCTCAACCGTCCTTCCATTTCCTCCCTCCTAACCCTAACCCAAATTCCGTCTCGTTAAACGCTGAGCTTCAAAATCCACAGCCCCAAAATCTCACTCCTCAACCTCTGGACTTCTCCGCCACTCTCTCGTCCCTCAATGGTCTCATTCATCACTCTGAACAGACTCTTCGCGCGCTATTTTCTCTTCTCCCACTCCAAAACCCTAATCAAGCTCATTCCAATGGCGTCGTGCCTTGCCCTTTCAATTCCCAACACCTTATGCACCCGAGTTCCCTCTTTTCTCATTTCCTTCATTGCTCGTCCTCTCCGTGCCCTATTCAATTCGACCTTCTTCCTCAACTCAATTACACCGAAACCTTAAATTCCTCTGATTCTTCTAAGGCAGAACGTGGCTTTCTTCAGACACTTCACGGCTCTGACTCGGAGCTCTGCTTCTCTCTGGATGATTTTTATTCCCAATTTGGGTTCAATTTCTTCTACAATGACTGCCATGGCGTGGTTAATCTCTCTGCTCTAGATGGCATAAGCAGAACTTTTACGCTTCCCGTTTTTCTGTCGGTCGAATGCGCCAATTTTGTGAGCAACAACGAAGAAGAAAGGAAGAGTTTTGAGAGAAAGAATAGGAAGATTCTCCCTTCTGAGTTGTGGGCTATTAGAGCTGAGATTGAAGCTTGGAATGAGTATCCAAATGTGTATTCGTACCGTGTTCTTTATGCCATTTTGGGATTGGATTTTATTAGTGTTTGTGATTTAGCGAGATGGGTGATTGCCAATTCGCCTCAATATGGAGTTGTGATTGATACGGCTATGAGGGATCACATATTTCTCCTTTGTAGGCTCTGTTTGAAGGCAATTCTAAAGGAAGCTTTGAATTTGGTCGGAAACTGTAATTCAGTGAAGATTTTGAATAGTATGAACTTTAGTTGTCCCATCCTGGTTCAAGCTTTAATGTGGTTAGCGTCTCAGCTTTCTATTTTATATGGTGAAATGAATGGGAAGTTTTTTGCGCTTAACATTCTCAAGCAATGTGTATTAGATGCTGCATCGGGTTTAGTATTTTTCTCGTTGGAAAAGAGTGTGACTGAGACTCCTGCTTTAGAGGAGGTTCCCCAGAGTTTAGTAGATTCTAATGGCAATGGAATAAAGGGTTCTGAAGTTCAAAAACCACTTGAAATACGTAGAAATGGAGAAGTGAATAGCGTTGTAGAGGAAAGCTTTACTAGTGGTGTGATTCTTGTGTCTCAGTTGGCTGCAGCCATTGCAGCATTGCATGAAAGGTCTTTGCTTGAAGGGAAAATTAAGGGACTGCGTTTTCACCAACCACTTAATAACTATCAACGGTATGCCACAATTCATTTGCTTTTCTTTTTTTCTTTATCGATATTTCTTGAATTGCAATGTACAGAACTTCTCTGGATTCATGGTGGGAATGTTGTAAGCATCTATATATGTTCATACCACCTTAAAGACGGCATGTTTAATTCTAAGTTCTTATTTATCTTTTCTATTGTAGGGTTGCTGAGCATGATTATGTATCGCATAGAGCTGATGAAGAGCGCGAAAAGCGCCCTCAGTATAGACCCATAATTGAGCATGATGGGCTTCCTCGGCTGAAAGTATCTAACGAGGTACTGAATTTCTACGGATCACAATAAACCACCAGAATCATAATGCGTAACTAATAACTAAATCATAGTCTGTCTAATTGTATCTTTTATTCGAAACATGTGCCCTGCTCTTACTAGATAATCTCCAATATGGAGAAATTGGCTTCTTCAAGAAAGAATACTAGAAAGAAGTGGGACTTGGACATCAATGTAAATGACGCACACAAAAGTACTGCTATAATTACATTAAGTAACTTTGATTGAGTAACCAACTATTTCTCTCGGAACATAATCTTTGTACCAAGCTTAAAGAGCTTGCTCTCCAGTTATCTTGTAGTTGCTTTTTGCTTTCTTAGGAAAGCATTAGGGAGGTTGCTTTAACTCTCAATCTCAAAAAGATCTTTATGTTTTCCTTTTGGTGCTCATTGTACCAGGAAACGAGCAAGACAAAGACTAGAGAGGAATTATTAGCAGAGGACAGGGATTACAAAAGGCGAAGAATGTCATATCGTGCCAAGAAGGTGAAGCGAACAAACTTAGAGGTAAGGACCTGTTTTTATACTGAGTATATCTTATTCTCTTTCTATGAGCTTAATGTATATGTATTTAGTTGTCTCACAAGTCCCATCTAGTTTGTTTAGATCTTTCTGACAAGTAATATTGGTTTTGTAAGTGTAAATTTACCAAGAGAATAAACTTAAAAATGAAGGCAGGTCAAAGTTATAGATGTGATCTTTGTACTTTTATAGGTTATGAGAGATATAATAGAGGACTTCATGGATGAAATTAAGCAAGCTGGAGGAATCGGGTGCTTCGAGAAGGGAGCTAAAGCAGAGGATACTCTTTTATTGAAACCGTCCTATGCTTCTGAAATAACCTCAGACATCAACATGTCAGAGAAAAGGAACTATGACTCATCTGCAGCAGGTGATAGTCCAGATCGCCACAGGAAACAATCAGGCTTTGACTATGGTGCCCGTGCTACAACTTTCAAGGGTTATACTCATAAAGATTATGAGCAAACTAAAAGAGGTCTTTATGGTGACCATGAACCCAAGGACGATCAGAGAAGCATCAGTAGAGATAAACGTGATAGAGAGTACTATTCCAGAAGTCCAAGACACGATCGATCAAGTGATTGGACTCATCACCGAAGGGAACAAAATGAGAGGGAGGGAAGTGGGACCAAGCGTCATGAGTCTAAGCACTCATCTTCCAGAAAGTCCAAGTATTACGTGAATAGATTATCAACTTTTGGATTAACTTCCGAACACAAGTCCAAATCTAAAGATAGACATCACGGAGATAGATATGAAAATCGCAGTTCAGCACTTTTTTTGCGGAATACTTTTGAGGATAGATATGATCCTTCAGAGTCTCATGGCACATATGAAGATGATATCCCTACTAACAGCAAGTATGTCTGGGGTGATAAATTTGTTGATGGAAAATGACCTAATGGGCAGACATTTCAGAGAAACACATTTTTCTCTTTACCTTAATAAACCGGAGCAGTTTTACCATGTGGGGTAAGTTATCCGGAGTTATCCCTCGTCTTTTCATCGTGGTTTCATTTGAATTTGAAAATGACATTTTGTTTGTAACATGCTTCAGCACAACTTTGCAGTTCGATGTCATCATGCTTCAGCAAGTTTTTTATATCCGTATCCTCCTTTTGTATCCTTGACTGTTTTTTTGTTTCTAGTCAGCTTTTAGTTTTTGTTTTCTTTTTATTGCAGTTTGTTAAATTTTGATAAGAAATTGGTTGGAGACATCTGACCACTTGGATCGTTTATATCATTTTTCTCTTGTTTACCATCGTGATTGTAGATTCGTAGGTCATAATCATTTAGACATAGATGTCCCGTGACAAAATATATCACTGCATATTTGCTAAGCTATATTGGCATCATTAATTTTTGCCTAATTATTCCTATGATTAGCCCACTGGTGTTTTTTCAGGTAAGCAAACTCTTCCATCCTGCTCATGGCTCGAATATTACGAGTGCCTGTACGATTTAAACAAAATTTTCTGTAAGATTGAAGTTTGTAATTTGATTTCTTTCATTGAGTTGTGAACACATTTTGATTGAATGACACTGGTCTTAGCTTTTGTTGAGTTGAACTTTTATTCGGAGTACAATGTATATATTCTAAGATTAAAAGTCTTTACTGGTAAGTCTGATGTTTACGTTTATTTAGATTTCAAAACATTTTCTATTTCAAATTAAGACGTTGTTCAGCAAGCAAAAACAAACAAGACATTGTAGGATTTTGCTAGATATGTATATAGTTTTTGCTTTACATGATTAGGTGTGATCAAGGTTAAAATTTTTGGGGAGAAAGAGGAAATAGGCTAAGATTTGAGATGAATTAAAATTAATAGGCTAATAGTTTACATAAGTTAATAAATAGGTCAAATTAATATTTTCGTCCATAACTTGTCTGGTTATGAACCATAACTTGACAAGTTATTGTCCATAATTTACGATTTTGTCCATAACTTATCTGGTTATGAACCATAACTTGCGAAGTTTGTCCATAACTTATCTGGTTATGAACTATAACTTGACAAGTTATGGCCTATTAATTTCTATAACTAAAAATTAGCCTATATACTTCTTTAAGCTTTTCATATTGACTTATTTTCTACTATTTCTTAAATTTTTTGGTGGGGTCAAAAATAAAAGCCGTCTTATTTATGTTTTTTTTTTTTTTGTAAGTTATTTATCTGTCTTATTAACATTCTTTAATTTAAACCATCATTTTCATTTAGAGGGCGTTTGGTTTATGTATTTTAAATTATGATTCAGAACCATTCTCATTTTACGTGTATTTTTTGTGAGAAAAAACACTGTAGAGAACTATGAATCATGATTCAGAATCAGAAACGGATATAGAAAACAAACGTCCCCTTAAATTTCGTAAGTCATTTTCATCAAAATTTGTTAGGTTTGTGTATTATTGCATTCTTTTCTATTCTTAACGAATTTGATTATTATATTAGTAAGTCAGATTCAGATTCAGAATCGTTATTTAAGAGTTTTTTTTTTTTTTTTTAAGGATATTTCTACGATAGGAAGAATGAATTATCGGTTGTTTTGTTTTCAGGATTTGTAATCAGATTCAGTCGTAAAAAACGTATGCTATTTGTATTATGTATTTAGGTACCAGAGGACCCCATTTTTGGTAATTTCCTTTTAAAGAAATATTTTTATGAGATGTAGCTGGCTCAGCAGCTGCCAACAAAGTGTGGGTCCCGGCGGCTTCCACAGATCGCACGCTGCGTGTTCTCCACCGCTGTTTTAACACGTGCCTTTAAGACCGTCAAATTGTCATTTCCCGTGGATGATTTGGACACGTGGGCCTGTAGAGGACCAGAGAGTGGCCAGATTTGACTCCACCGCATTCAGAAAACTACGGAAAGTTCTGATCGGAGGTGCAATCTGGCATTTCAAATACCACAAACCAATTGATCAGCAAAAAAAAGAAAAAAAAGGAAAAAAAATACCACGGACCAAAAAGTGTTGTTGGGCACTACAGAGATGCCCGGTGGCCGCTTGACTTTGGATTCATTTTGTGGATTTAAATTTTTAATTTAAATTGAGATGTAATATTTTTTAAAAATTTTTTATTGTAATAAAAAAAATTAAATGTGATATTTTTTAAGAATTTTTTATTGTAAAAATTTAAAATTGAAAATTCAAATCGGTGAAATGAACGAGGTCTTTAAATGTTTATTTTAATTTTAAAAGTTTTATTTAGAGAAATCTAATTAAAATAATGTCAAAATGAAAAAATAATATAAAAAACTAGCAGTATTTAATAGTCATAAGACTCATAACCATAAGCTATCTCTTTTCATATCTTCTTGTAATTTTTTCTTTTTTTAAAAAAAAAAATCTCTTGCAAGCTTTTAAATAGGAATTTCAAGGAACAAAATAAGGAAATTTCATCACCTTAAGTTTTTTCTGTCTCTCTTTTAGAAAATTCTGTATAGGGAATTTTTATCGATTTTGATTGAAGAAGACGTTACAACTTACAAATGCACAAAATTAGTAAATAGTAAGTAATTTCTGCTGTAGAAACCTTTTTTTTAATTATTATATAATGCCTTAAATGTTTTTCTTTATGAAAGAAAAATGTCCGAAGCATTTGCCACAGAGAAAAACCACAATAAAGTTTTCAAAAACCTTTGGAGATAAAATGAGATTTGTCCTCTCCGAGAGATAGCCATAGAAGAATAATTGTTAAAATGTGGCAGCGGCACAACAATAACGTAACACTTTTAACATACAATGAATTATCTCCTTTTTCAAAGTCTTGAAAAAAAATCCTCACTCATATTGTCCCTCATTATATGACACTGGGGTATTGCTTGCTTCTGTACTCGAAGAAAGTTTCTATTTGATCTAAACTAAATATATATATATATATATATCTCCCACCGAAATAGTAAAACTCTCTATGAGAGTGATTTTACGTTGTTTACTTTCCATGAAATGGTTAAAGAGAGTTGTTTTGTGATGGTCTAAATGACATCACTTCTATGATTCACTACAAAACTTGTAAACGTGACCAACCTTTTTTTTTTTACCAATAATAGAAGTTGTGAAAACAACGTCTTAAGCATTACAAGCTAGTCATGGCTGAATTTTTTTATGTTGCCACGTCACAAATACCAATTCATTCTTCATTCTCTGCATAATGTAGAAATTCTCTTCAGTATTATTTTCTACAGAAAGCTAAATACAAGTTCAACATAATTCGAGTCTTGACCAAATTTTCTCGCTCACCAACTACCTTGGTTAGATAAGCATTGTTTCGTACCTCGTTGAAACTCATTAGATTAGCCTGTTTAGTTTGCTGATTTGAATTTTTAATTTGAGTTGAGATATGACTTTATGTGAGAGCTTTTTACTATAGTAAAAAAGTTAGTGTGACTGTTTCTGAGAATTTTTTACTGTAACAAAACTCAAATCGGTGAAATGAACGGGACCTAGATATACTATTTGAAACAAAACCGATGATTCTAATTTGGGAGAAAGAGGAAAATATGCCAAGACTTGAGATGAATTAAAATTAATAGGCCAATAGTTTACATAAGTTAATAAATAGGTCAAATTACTGTTTTCGTCTATAACTTGTCTGGTTATGAACCATAACTTGACAAGTTATTCATGATTTTTGTTCATAACTTGTCTGATTATGAACCATAACTTGACAAGTTTGTCCATAACTTATATGATTATGAATCATAACTTAATAAATTATAACCTATTAATTTCTATAACTAAAAATTAACCTATATATTTTCTTAAACTTTTCATATTGACATATTTTTTACTATTTTCGTTCTAATTTCCTAAGCGAAAGTCCACTTTTCTGGGCAATTCGCACAAATTCAAGTACACCCTCCCCTTGTTAAATTTTCTTCTCCCCTCTAATTGATTATCGCACTAGACACGAATTCTGGTAAAGACTTTTTAAATGCGTGTTTTTAGCCTTTGCTCCTCAATAAATTACACAAGTTACAATAAAAATCCAATATTTATTTTATTATTATTTGTGGGTAGGACAAACGAACAAATGACCCAAATTACAAAAATCACGGCATGAGAAGTATACAAACATCTGGCGGTGTATAACTATAGTTTGCGCGTCATATTCTTTCTTCTGCTTCAGATAGATAGAGAGAGAAAAATTTAAAGAAAAGAAAGCCAAAAAAAAAAAAATGACGAAGCCCTGTTTCTAATCTGAGTTTCCAACCAGTTGGGCTTTCATTTCTTTGGTTTGTTTCGAAAATGGCAAAGTCTGGAGTCTTGGAAACTGACCCGTCAATGGTGGGTTCGAAGGCTCTAGAATTGAAGAAGGAGTTGCAGAGACTGGTGAGAGCCATTGTAGATGACGATGACTACGCAGTAGAAGACGAGGCTGTGAAGGTTCTGAGTTCTTTGAAGGAGTTGAAGTTAAAAAAGACTCAATCTTTTAAATTTGATGATAATAATAGTAATCCTGAAGTTCCTGAAGAATTTAAATGTCCCATCTCCAAAGAGCTCATGAAAGACCCTGTTGTCTTGGCCACTGGACTGGTTAGTCTTTTATATCTTTTCTCTTGTTTATAATTCTTTAAAATTCTTCTTCTTTTTGGCTTTTCTTATTTTTCTGTGTTCAAGTAATTTTAGTGCGTTTTAACCGGTTTCAATATGCATGCAAGATAGATATATATAAATTTTGAGAGTTTTTTTTCCCCCTTTTTGTGGGTTTTAAATTTGGTGCGAAATTGCGAATCTAGCTCTGTAAGTTTAGATTTCATCTGGATATTACTTTGAAATATTCTTCTTGAATGTGATTCTCTGAAATTTACATCAAGGTCCAAGACCAACCTGATTCCTCACAAGTTGCAACCAAATTTAATACTTGTTTTCTTGAAGAATTACTTCACACACACACCCATTGGATTGACTGGAAAAATCTTTCTTTTCTTTAGACTTCAAAAGTCAAGATTTTTAATCCTATGGATTCTGAACAGTGGAGGAAAAGGGGTTCTGTGGCGAGTTCCTGAGTCCTGACCTCGGATCTTAGTAGGCTTCAGCCACATTAACAGGTGCTGGCCCTGTAAAGTAGATATGGGAGATCTGTTTATTCATTCTTTTACCATTCTTGAAAGTTTCCCGTGTAAAACAACTAGTGTTCTTGTGTAGCAAACTTAATGCTATATTGGTCCTTGTTTCTTGTTATGTTCATGCTTTGCTTTTGGTTTCTTATTGAATTTTTGTGCTGCAGACTTAGGGTGTTGATCAATTCTAAGTCCTTGATGTGTTTCGGTTGCAGACTTATGATCGGCCATTAATCGAGCGGTGGTTGAACGAAGGCCTCCAGACATGTCCGCAAACTCAGCAAGTCCTGCCTCATACCGTCCTTACCCCCAATCACTTGGTTCGAGAAATGATTTCTCAATGGTGCACTGAGCATGGACATGAGCTTCCAAAAGGGACTCGAGATATGGATGAGAAAGTGGTCAGAAAAGCCGATGGAGCCTATCTGAATTCTCTCCTTGAGAAGATGTGTTTATCCCTACCTGATCAGAAAGAAGCGGCAAAAGAGCTTCGAGTGGCAACAAAGCGGAGTCCATCATTTCGGGAGCTTTTTGGCGAGTCCAATGAAGCCATTTCCAAAGTGCTGAATCCACTTTCACCAGACCAGGCCGACACTCATCCTGATCTGCAAGAAGATCTGATCACAACACTTCTAAACCTCTCTATATGTGAGAAAAACAAGAGATTAGTCGGGGAGAATCCACTAGCAATCACCTTGCTCGTTGAATCCTTAAAATCCGGAACCCCACAAACGAGAAGCAATGCTGCTGCAGCAATCTTCACACTGTCAGACCTTAATTCCAACAAGCTTGTTATTGGAAACGGCGGAGCTATTAGACCCTTGATCGACCTTTTAGACGAGGGCAATCCACAAGCAATGAGGGATGCTGCTTCTGCAATATTCAACCTTTGTATTGTCCTTGAGAATAAACGGAGGGCCGTCCAAGAAGGGGCGGTCCCGGTGATTGTGAAGAAGATCAAGGACCATGTAATGGTTGCTGAATTACTGGCTATTCTTGCCTTGCTTTCTGTCCATCAGAAGGCTGTCGACGAAATGGATGAGCTTAACGTAGTGCCTTTGTTGCTTAGCTTTATAAGAGAGAGTTCTTGTGAGAACAGTAAGGAAAATTGCATTGCCATCCTCTACACAACCTGTTACAATGACCGGGTCAGACTAAGGGAAATAAAAGCAGAGGAAGCGAAAAATGGCTCGATTTCGAGGCTCGCACGAACAGGGACTTCAAGGGCCAGAAGGAAGGCTAATGGCTTTCTTGAGAGGCTAAACAGATCTGCCTTGATAACTCACACTGCTTGACCTGTAATCTGTATCATCCTTTGTGAATATTCATGTCACCGCTCACTCTTAGTCCAATCCTACACAAAACATGGTACTTGAAGCTAAACATCAAAGATGGTTTGTGTGTCATTAGACAAAATACTTGTGGTGATTAGCATTTACCTTTTACTGTATAGACCATCTCCAGCCCCATAACTGTAAAAAGAGTGTCACATATTTTAAACATTTACTTTCATTCATTCTGCACAAAGTTTTGGCCTATGTCAGGTTTATATACAAGCAATGCAACGTTGTATTTTCGTTTCTTTTCTGAAGGGAAGAATAAATAGATAATTCTAGTGGTTTGTTTTCTCTGTCTCAGCATCCCTTTTTTTTTCCCCCTTCTTTTCCTCACATGACTTCATATCAGTTGGGGAAACCTCTTTTAGGCTTCATTTGGTAGGAGGGATAGAGAGGAGGAATGATAGAGAGTTGGAGAGATAGATATGATTATAATAATATTTTATATTGTTTGTTAAAAAGAATGATAAATTGAAATGATAGATGATAGTTTTTTATTTAATTATTACATATTTTTTTAATATGTATTAAAAAATAATTTTAAAGGGTAAAAAAGTTATTTTATTTCTATTTTAATAGATTGGTTGAATTCTTCTATTAAGATGTAAAGATTTAAAATGATGGGCTCGGAAGGAGAGAGAGTCTTCCTCCATCTCTCTTCTCCTTCATCTTCTCCTTTTTACCAAATAAAGGATTCACTCTCTCTCTCCACCCCTCTCCCTCCCTTCATCTTTCCTTCTCTCCTACCAAACATACTCTCTTAATGGCAGAGTTTGGTTCATTTGAATTATATTATTCATCATTATGGTATTTGGCGTTTTTATCCATTTAGGATGATTGGTCAGGGCCTACTTAAACAAACAGGAGCTTTGGATTTCATTGTTCCTATCACCACTTACTACCAACATTTGTTTAGCATCGGCAGGTTTATCAGTAATAACAATAATTTTTTCGTATTCTTTACCGTGAGACTAAAAAAAAATTTCCATTAATGAAATTTTTATTTTTAATTATTAGATTAATTTTTCAAATATCAAATCTACAACAGAAATAATTTTATGTGGTTTGTAGATTTTTAATATTAATTTGTACAAATTTAATCGTTACAAAATTAATCCAAACGTTTAAAAACAAGAGTTCCACTTATGTAGGCTTTTTTGAGTTGCGCTCTAGAGGTTGTCTTTTTTTCATCGGTCACTTCTGTTTAGTACAGTAAACTTTTGAAGTAATGGAGCTTTTTTTTATTTTTTTTCCAACAAAGTCATAGAATTAGGAACCGTTTAGTTCATTGATTAAAATTATTTTTAATTTATGTGTGTTTTTTATAAGAAAAAATACTATAATGAACTATGAACCATAATTTAAATCAGAGAATGAATATTCCAACCAAACATACTCTTAGTATTTATATACTGTAGGTTCTAGAATTAAAATGTTTGGACGGTGGGGCCTTAACCTTATCGGGAAAAGGTGGGAATTTTTGAAAATGGAAAGCTACAGTAGATTCCTTTTTTTTGAGATATCTTGATTCTTGTGTTTCAATTGTGAGGGATCAAATGTGAGCATGCCAGTACCCCACCAACGTTGTTGTACTTTTCTTGTGCGCCAAGACTAATTTATGAATGAATGAGTTTAATGTCTCGTTCATTTTACTTATTTGAATTTTTAATTTTAATTTTATTACAGTTAAAAAATTTTATAAAAAATCACGTTTTATTTTTTTTATTACGGTAAAAAACTCTCTTATAAAATTATAACTTAACTTAAATTAAAAATTCAAATTAACAAACCGAACGAGACTTAAAATTTTTAAAAAATAAAAGTGCAAAAATCCCACATAGATAAAAAAAAAGAGCACGAACTCTTCTCTCATTCCCTCCATATAAAGACTTTGAGTGCTCGAGATGGAAAGATCAGTGAAATTTTATAACATACACCGTCGAAAGATGGAAAGATAAAAAGATATTATCGAATTCATATTATCAACTAAGAATTCAAGATATGAAGATCAAAAGATATTATCAAGTAATGTTTTATTTAATTCGCCGATTCAAGTTTCAATTGAAGTTAAGATATTACTTAATATGATAATTTGTAACTGTAGTAGAAAAAGTTAAAGCTGAGATATAACTTTATGTGAGTTTTTAACTATAGAAGAAAAAATTAAATGTGACTTTTTGTGAAAACTTTTAACTGTTGCAAAACTTAAATTAAAAACTCAAATTAGGCGAACCAAGTTCTTTATATGAGAGTTTTTAACTATTATGATGACTTTTAACTGTAGCAAAACTTGAATTAAAAACTCGAATTAGTAAAATGAACGAGGCAAAGAATTCGAGATATGCATTTAACTAAACATACTTGTAAAACTCATCAATTTGAAAAATTACTTGAAAGAAATTCACAAAATCTACCTGACATTTGCCTTTTGGTAATGCTTGGTACTCGCATAATTTCTTAATGGAATACCAGTATAAAATGCCATTTTATTGCAAAATTAATGCAATTTCTTCATAAAATAGGTCTGTTATTTATGAAGAGAGTTTGACAAGATGATCTAATTTAATAGAAAAATAATAATAACGAAAGAAACTATAGCTATAGCGAAGAGTGATTTTACAATGTTATTTTTTTGTAAAACAATGAAAGAATGTGTTCGTATGATAGTTTTACAAAGCTCTTGTGAATTCTCTTGCACGGTTACCCCTTTTATATGTATTCTTACAAAACTTGTAAACGTAACCTTCCTTTTCACCAATTCCTTCTTTTCATCAATTCCCTAAAGGAATTTGTGAAAATAATGTCTTCAAGATTAAAAGATAGTCGTAGCCGCAATTGATGTTACCACATCATGATAACCAATTTATTCTTCGTTCTTTGCATTATGTAGAATTCTGTTAGATACCATTTTCCATAAAAGCTTTTTAACTCTATTCGAGTCTTGAACAAAATTTCCTAGCTCACTTCTAGTCCAATCTTGCACAAAACATGATGGACGCGTTTGGAACTCGTTCTAAAATGATTTTACTTTTTTGTATAAAAATGAAAATGAAAATGAAAACGTTTTTAATCTCAGACATAAATCATTTTTAAAAATGGGTTTGATAGTTTTATCAAGAGATCGTTTTCAATGTAAAAAAACTCATCAATGTCTCTCTTTCTCTCTCTATGCTCGAGAGAAGAGAAAACGAAAACAAAAAATGAAAAATAACTAAAAGTCATTTTTTATTTCTTTTTCATTTTACACTAAACTAAAAAATCGTTTTCATTTTTATTTTTTTGTTTTTATTGCACCAAACGCCGTTTTAAAAACGTTTTTATTTATTTTTTTTTTTAAATGTGAAAAATAAAAATGGGATCAATTCTAAACACGACTGATATTTTGAAGTGAAACACTCTACTTGACAAAATACTTGTGGTGAATATCACATATTGTAAACACTCGCTTTCATTCACCCTACAAGAAGTTTTGGCCTATATTTCCAGGCTTTATAGACAGGCAACGGACGTTGTATTTTCATCTCTTTTCAAAATTCGAATGGTTTGTTTTCTCCCTAGAATTTATTATGTCATCCGGGTTATCCTCTTTGAAAAGGTCATTTGGATTATCGTATTTATCATTATTATGGTATTTGGCGTTTTTCTTTCCAGTCAAGTGATTGGTCAGGGCCCACTTGAATAAAAAGGAGCTGTGGGTACTCCCTTATTCCTGTCACCACTTACTACCAACCTTTGCTTACTGTCGGCAGGATTATCAGCTGTGAGTCTCATGACCGCATAACATGATTTTTTCTTGGCATATTTGCAATTTACATTTTTATACATGTATTTTAGGTTTATTTAAAATCTCTACCTTTAATTTTTTATCTCATTAAATATATATTTTTAAATTTAATTTAAAATATAAATTTATTCCTTATTTCTATTAATAATTAAATTTAACATTTAAAATGATCAAACTATCATTAAAAAAAGAGAGAAAATAACACTAAAACTTCCCAACATTACAAAAAATAAAATATAAAAACCCAAAAAATCTCATTTTAATGGTACTGTGGATATTTTAAAGGTTAAAACTGTAAGTTTAAAGTTTTTCTTTTCTCCCTTTTTAGTTAAGGGTGCTTCACGTATTTTATGTTTAAAATCGAGGGTTAATTGTGAAAAAATGTGAATTTAGATATTAAATATAATTTGAAAGTGTACATTTGATGAGATTAAAAATTAAAAGTATAATTTTTGAATAAATGCAAAATATTGGGTATAAAAATGTATCACCCGTTCATTTCACCGATTCGAGTTTAGAATTATTATTTTGCTACAGTAAAAAGTTCTCATAAATAATAACATCTAACTTTTTTGCTACAGTAAAAAACTCTCACATAAAGTCACATCTCAACTCAAATTAAAAATTTGAATTAGTGAACTAAACGAGCCCGTAAATATCATTTTTTTCTTTTTAGGAGATTTTCTGATACGCATGGCGTATCAATAGGCCATATTTTTTTTAACCGTTGAATTTGGTATTTTTTTACTTTCACGTGATTTTATGTAGATCTGACAGACAAAAAATTTAACTTACCGGTATATTGTTATACCGGAAAAGATCTTTTCTTTTCCCCACTTACTATTTTATTAATACAGTAAAATGTAAAGTATTGGATTAAGTATTATATTGTATAATACTATTTGGTTATGATACTGACATATTTGGACGGTGGGGTTAGAACCTTATCATAATAGTAGAAATTAGAAAAGGAAAAGAGGCAAATTTAACCGCAGTTTCTTGCTTAAGTTTAGCATTTTATGATGCGCTGAGTCGTACAGTTTTTTTTTTTTTTTTTTTTCCTTCAGTTTTTTTTTTTTTTTTTTTTTCCTTCTCTCTCAAATGTAAAATTTGACAGTGCGATGAAAATTACATAAACTAAGCACTGTAGTTTACTTGAGATTAGTTTGAAATTAAAAATTCAAAAAGTTGAAGCACGTACTTGGACTTTCTTTACCATTTCTTGAATTTTACTGCGAGACGGAAATACATAATTTTTAATTGTGAGATCATATTTTAATTATATCATATTAAGAAAATATATTAGAATTAGACGGAATTTGATAAAAAAAAAATTGTCAGTTCAAAAAATTATTCTATGAACAAATTCAAACAAAAAAGAAAAAGAAAATTTTGTGATTGGATATTAATTGTCT